TTCCTCACTTTACCCATCTTGAGCTATGGAGTTAGGAAGATGCATTTATGGAGGATGAAAACCAAAGGGATGAAACTGAAAAGTCAGGGGAGTGGTGGTTGAAGAAAGTGGCCCTGGTTAAGGATCTTGGGTCCAACGTCAATGCATCTGTAGGCAGATGCTGCACCGCACTACTCCAATGTCTTCCACGGAGCCTCAGATGCTCCCCCTCTCACCTGGTAGCCCCCCCAGCTGCTGGTGACCTCCACCCTTGGACATTTTCCCAATAAACATTCTTGGACAAACTGGAGATGACTGTATGGGATACTGTATAGTATGCTGAAAGCACCTCCCCACTGTCTCTCCCCTGACCACAAGGGCCTCTCACACCACCACCAACTCGACAGGAGCACTCTCATTGTTTTAAGGTGTTTGTTTTGATTCTATAGCCTGGAATGGGTGGGGAAAGGACAGAAAACTAGAGCCCTAGTTCCTTTTGTTTTGTTCAGTGAGAAGGGGGGAGAAGGAAAAGAAGGGGGGGGAATATAAATTCTCCTGTATCCATGGGAACGAAGATTATACCACGCGAGAGGGGCCGGTAACCTTTTTAAGTTCACTGCCCACATCGACACCCAAGCTTTTCACCATTGATTCCTCTGACTCCTCCATCAACCTCGAGTTAATTTCCAGAATTGGACTGAACGGTGTTTTGGGACAAATGAAAGAGCAGCTCCGCTAATGGATCCTTCAGTGCCACGTGCTCCTATCCTGTGCACTCCTGTACTTCTAGTCTTCCCCGCCCTCACTTTTCCTTTTGTTTCGTCTGCCTCTGTCTCTGCTGATTCGGTCAAAGTCAATAATAAAGTAAAGTAAAATAATAAAGTAATAAATAAAAAAAATAATAAAGTAAAGTGTAAATGAGTTTATTATATTCACTCTCTGCCACTATATCCAGAGGAGGATTATGGAAATAAAACTAAGGGGTTGGAACTCCCCTGTCAAAAGACTTATACTTTGGGCTCTGGGGCTACTTCCTTCCTGTGAAAATAGAGGCTTTCCTCTACTGTTTCCTAAATTCCAAGGGTGGAGGGATGGTGCCAGTGAGAGAAATACCTGTTGACGTTTGCAACCACTGTGGGGGAAAAGCTGCAGAACCCAGAATCTGGACATCATATGCTATACTCTCTGGAGAATTATAGGTCTTCTCAACTTTGGATCTTTCCAGAGGTGTATGAACGCTCCTTTTCTGCATCTCAGTCTCTCTGGCATGTTCCAAGAATTTAG